AAAACAAGTTATATTCAATTACTTATGCAAGGATCGCATTTCAGAATAAAGCCGTAGGAAGTACGAAAAAAGATAGATACACACCTCTCCCTTCAAAATTGGCATTCTCGCAGCATCCTCGCAAATCACGGCGCAGCTAGCAGTGTGGAAACGTTTCAGCGTTTGGTGAATAAGCATATAACAACGTTTCTTATCCACATCGTTGGCAATAAGCATACCACCTCAAATGTAAGCCGCCTATTTACTAGTCGAATTATAATAATACCATTAAAACTCACTCGGATTGCTTGTGTTTTCGTGCATCATTTCTATTAATTGTGCTGTCTTGCTTCCAGGAGCAGCGCACATATCCAAGACTAGATGATTTTCTTCTGGATTGAGAAGAAGTGGGGGAATCATACTTACAGCTTCTTGTCGCGATATGTGACCAATCTCGGCTTCTGTTACCTAGAAAACAATCACTTACAAGTATTTAAAGGGATAGTTAATAAAGTACCAGGAAATTATGAAGATGAGTAAGAATTGGATGACTCCTTACAGCTGTTCTAGTCATTTTGGTTTGATAAGCGCCAGGATACCTTAAAAAAGTAAACTCTAATGCCGATTTGATCATCTAGAGGTTGCGCGAATAAGCTTTAAAAACCTTACTCGCACAACCCCCAAAAGATCAATGATCAACAAGTTAGGGTTGATTACCATGGCAAAGGCTTTGGCTCATACACGTCTGAATCTTCTGAATTAGCGATTGGCTCAAAAAATTTGGTTTCCATTTCATGCATCAAGCGGTCTCGATCCCTGGATGGAATATTTCTGAGGAGCGACTTGCAATACTGGCACATGACAAACATACTTGTGGCATCCTTGCACACGAAACGAAACGGGAAGATCTGTTCGAAGTGCATTACAAAATGCATCCCATTCTTCTTCAGGAAAAAGTTTCTGAGCTTTGTAAAAATTCCAGTACTTCTCGTTCTCTTTCACGATATCCTTGTAAGGTTTATGCTGGAAAAATAACACTTAGAAGAAGATAACTCCAGCATCCAAAATACAAGAATATACAAATTAGTTATATGACCTACGTTCTTCCATTCGTCACGAGACTCTCCATTATCATTCCTACTCTCTTTCAGCTTTGCACCTAGCCGTCTCCGTTTTTTCTGGAAGTTGCGACCCATCTGAATGTCGCTTTGACTCATTTCAAGACACACGGAGCATTTGATAACATTTGAATGTTATGGATAAAACCAAAAGTTAACATTTGAAAACAGTTGTGTAATTCATTTATTTGCCGCGGAACATAAGCTCAACGAGCAAAACTATGACAATTATTTATTGCACAATAACAATTACGTCCACTGACCATATAAGACGAAGTAACGCGCGAGCGAATTACAAAAATGTGAAGCAACAACTCAGACCGGCGTAAATCCACCAAGACAAGCATGAAGTAATCAGGAACGGACAAGCTGGGAACACTATGCAAAGGAAAATACATGACAAACGGAAATGTGAAGAACTATATGCTTTGTTACTCATCACATATTTCAACTAATTCTATACAGCTGAAAAGAAGTACAACCCTAAAATACATTATAAAATGCCAAGTATATAACCATTTCCATCTGAAGAGGGCGAGTTCCATGTCATGTTAGTCACTTGCGCCACGAATCCGGTCGAAAAAGCGTCTGATGGCCGCACAGTTCGGGTCTTTGCCGATGCGCTACCAAATCATCGCTCGCTCAGTAAACATCGAGTAGAAACTGGTCGGTCAGCGAGGACTTCATAGCCTATCACCGCTGATCCGTAGCGATCGCATAACAGCTGAATAGATGTACTAATTCCAAGTTGATAAAACAAGCATATTCTAAAAGCTGCAGAGTGTGCCATCTTGCCACTTGGTAAACCAGTCCATCAGAGATTTCAGTCAAATTATGTGCGAAAAAAGAGGGCAGAAGTTTGCCAAGAATTCGTAAAAACATTTGAGATCCACAAAGTCCCGTTTACCAAAGGAATCCTGGCTTAGAAACTCAAGACAATCGAAAAGAGGTCGGGACGAAGAAGCCTGGGTTCTGAATTTTCTATCTTCATTACGATATATGCGGCAGAATACGGAAAAAAAA